CCTCTTCTGGGCTCCGTGGCCACTTCTTTGGATAGCCAGTAGATAGCCATTTATCTTCTCCCCTTTTAATGCACAAAATTACTTGTTATCCAGCGTTCAAATAGTGATGTATCCATCCAACCGCCCAGGTCAGATAGCTAGATATTTCCAATGACTCTTCCCCTCTTTATTGACAGGTTCTCAATTTTATCTCATAAATTACTCTTTCATTCTTCCAATTCTCTACTTCCCACTTTTTCCACACTTGTTCAATTTATCATCTCTCTCCTTCTAACACATACCTTGCCTCAGGTCTTATCTCCCTCTAATCATTAGCTGTTGAAAAACTGGAATGATTTCTTTTTCCTAAAATACAAATCTCATTATGTCATTCTTAGGTTTGAAAGCCTTCAGTGGCTTCTGTCTGACCTCAGAAGCTGGCCATTTGTCCCATTTGTCATGGTACCTATTCATTGCTTACTTAGGCTATTTTTAAAACAATTGGATGTATAAACAAAATGAAGTTTGGTGCTGTTAGGCTTTTGACTAATGGTCCTAGTCTTCTGTGAAGAAGTAAACAACATAGGGACCCAAAGGCCACTTTTGTGTCACTTATATTAATATAACAGTAACACTATTGGTAAATGCTGCACTAAGTGATCTTCCAGGTCAAAAATATTGTTATTCTATCCCAAATATTTTAAACTCCTGCCATTTCAACATCTGCTTTCACCACTTCCAGCAGCCACATGAAAATATAAGAAGTGATTTGAAAAGGATAAGCTGTTCTTCCTTCAAATGTTAAAGTTGACTGAGGATTCACCTTTACCATAAAGCAGAGGTTCTTGAAGTGTGGTCTGAAATACTTAATTATATTCTCCATAATTAAATTTGATTCTTCTTTTCTAAAACTGTACAGTTGTTTTATATTTTCTCATTGACTACTGCCTGAGGTAGTCAATGTTAATAATCCTCTATCTGTGGTATGTTTTCCAAACCTAGTATTTGCCTTTAATCTTTGCTTATAGTGTATTGCCAAAAAAATGTTTTATTACATAATCTAATTATCTTTTTCTCGATCTCTGAATCATGTCCTTGTTGAGGAAGGTGTCCCCTGGTCCTAAGGCCATACAAATATCCCTGAATCCATCCGGACTTTATTTGGTTTATGGTGTGAGACAGGGGTCTAGCTTTTTTTATTTTCAGATGAATATAGTTAGTTATACCAGCAGCTTTCTTTAAATAAACCATTATAATACACTATAATTTTCTTAACAAATCAAATTATTATCTTTATCATATATTATAATAATTTCTTCTGCAGACCTGGGGTTATTCTATTGCACTAAACTATTTCCTCCCTACTCTGTTAACATCATATTTTATTGAAGTAGCCTTATGGATAATTTTAATTTCTAAGGAAAATTTTTAAATTATTCTAGTCAGCTCCAGAGAAACACTGTTGAAATTCTAATTAGAACTGCATTAAATTTAAATATTATGAGGAAGGATTTACATTCCTATGACAGTAAGTCTTTCTGTTCAGGAACTTAGTATAGACTGCCCCATGTTCAGATCTTAATTTCTTGTCCCTCAGTAAGATTTCATAATTCTTTCATTTAGATTCTTTAATAACATTTTGTTACATTTAAGATAGTATGTATTGTAAGCAATATAGTTTACCCTCTCCATTTCTGACTACTACTACTACTAGTATTTAAAAAACTGTCAGTTTGTCAGTATCTTACATATGGTTAATTTATTTATATATTCTCTTTATAATTCTAGTGATTTTTTTACTAGAGTATTTTTTACAAATGCTCATGGGTGTCTGAGACCTCTATAGTTACAAATAAATTACAAAGGCAGTCATCAGGTTGCAGAAGAGATACATTCCCATGAATATCTTTAGGTTGGATTTGTATGTAACTCAGACCCCTGCTGAACAGCACATAGTTAATGGTAATAACAATCACAATAATACTATAATGGCTGAGTCATCTATGGCAATAATAATACAGTGTAACACTGTAATAATAAGTTACAGACACTATTGTGTTCCTTTTTTTAGTTCAAACAAACAGAACATAAAAACAAATTCATATAAAAAGTTTAGATAGGAGATAGGAGAAATTTTAAAAGAGAAAATTAAAGGTCAACACCTAATGCTGCATCAACACTAGACTGACAGGAATGGTATGCTTATTTTCATCTTCTAAGTTGATCAATAATAACCTTTCCATTTCAAACATTAATCTACTACATTGCTTAGTAATAACTGACGCTTTCATTGGATCACTGCTTTGCATATGTCCCATTATTCTCACTTTGTCCTTTATAATTATTCCAATAGTAAAGCAGCTGATACCTAATGCTTTCCCAATGAATGACGGCATCTAGCCTTTCTCCAAATGCTTAATTATTACCACTTTCATTTCCATTGCAATCACTTTTCTCTTCGTTGCAGGCTCACCTGGACTTGCGATGGACTGTGCTTTGAAGGCATGGTCATAAAGATAAACACAAACTCTCAAAATTGAATAAAAAAGTTAAGACAAAAGTGATGCTGTGGGTAAGCAACTGTATAAACAATGAGACAAGCTGCTAGCCTGAAGATGCCACCCCAGCGAACTGCTACGCCATGAACAGAAGAAAGTAGTTCCTAAATTATTAATTCAATTATTTAATTATAAATACCCTTATGGGAAGCCCTGGGGTCCATTCAGAAGTACAGAATGCCATAAGATAGGCTGTCTATGACCCGGGCACTGCCTATACTCTCCTTTCAGATAACATTACATTATTTTGCATTCTTACCTATAAGAAAGAACCTCTAAAAACACTGAATCTTACTGTTAGGAATTAGCAGCTCTTTCTTCTTCCTGATTTTTAAGGAAAGAGCTTCAGAAGTTTGCCATTTAGTATGATGTTTGCTGTAAAGTTTTGGTAAATGTCTTTATCATTATCCGATAGCTTCCTTCCATTCCTAACTTATTAGAAATTTCATCAGGAGAGGTTGCTAAGTGAGGTAAGTGCTTGAATGCCTTCAAAGCATTTTTAATATAAACCTCCTGGTTTTCTATTTTAATTTGTGTTGTAATAAAATTCAAGTTCTGTTTTAATTCAGACTTGACCTTTAATACTTGGCAGTAAGCCTATCCTAAGAATGCAAAGTGACCAGATGCCATCCAGGAGCTGAGAAGTGTGGCCTGAAAGAACAGATTTGAAGACACCATACCAGGGCCATCTCTGTCCTGATTAATGCTTTAGAGCTCTGAACTCTGCTTTTTCTGATACGAAAAGTGCCACTCCTTTAGTTTTGTTTGCATTTGCCAGTCTCCACGTCTATCCATTTCCTTTTCAGCCATTATTTTATCACCTTGTTTTAGGAGTGTTTCTTGACTTTTTAGCCCATCTGGCAGTCTCTGAGTTCATTCACTCTTACTAAAGTGATTAGAATACTTAATTTTACACATACTTAATACACTTAAGTTTTACTCCTTCTATCTCAAACACTATCTTTTTCCTTCTTACTTTTGCTGAATTAGTCATTTCCCCTCCCTTTCTTCCTGTTCCTGTTTCCTCCCTCTCATTCTTCCCCCTGCATTTTTTCTGTCAATTTAGAAGTCTTACTGTGCTTTAAAGTCCTACTCTGGTAACATATTCCTCTAAATCATCTTTAAATATGTACATTCTGTCAAAGAAAATAGTAATTTTATACCACATGTATTTTACATGTGCATATCTATATGTATATATATAAAGACACACCACCATGCACCAAGAATTTTTACCTGCTCACATCTCCCCACAACCTAAACAGGGTGGAAGTTTCAGTTCTAGTTTCTCTTTCAAGAATGATTCGTCTTTCCCAAGAATCCCTACTTAGCATTTATATTGCAAAGTCCTAGTCACATCATTATTATCTATTTAATTTTAATAATACATATATTGCAAGATTCTTTGCTCCCATTATTCTTCTCCTTTTTGTCTTGCCCTAGCAAGATTTCTGTTCTGAATCAATTGTCATTTGATAGAGTATTTCCCCAAGTGTTTTCCTCAGATAAGTACATGGGCAGAATACTTTTTAAATGCCTGTACTTCTAAAATGTTTATTTTGCCTGGACAAATGAATGATACCTTTCCTGGTTATTAATTTTTAGACCTCAGTCTTTTTCCTCCAGGGTTCTACAAATGTTCCAGTGTTTTAACTTCTAGTGAGGCTGATAAAAAAAAGTTTGAACTTAAATGATTCTTTTTCCATTGCAAGTGACTGCTCATGCTATCCATGAGTTAATTCTTCTCCTACAGCTACTATAAGGTTCTCTCTAATTTCTTGTGCACATGTCAAGTACCAGAAACAGCACCTGTCACAGAAAGGTAATTGCTCAATATTTACATGAAGGAGTAAAACAAAAACAAAAAACCAGTTTGCATGCTGACCTTGCATGACCTTGCATGTCTTCTCCCTGGCTAGACCTCCAGAGATATCACTCTTGATCAGTACAGCCTGAATTTGTCTTCACTGTTTGTTCTGTGTTCAGTGCAGAGTCCTGTACATCAGTCTCAGAATCATCCCCAAATCCTACCTAAACTGCCCTTTCTTTCATAGCCCTGCTACTTAAGCGATGTATGTCTTCACACCCCACTACCTACACACAACTCCCAGGTCAAGATAGCTCCACATGCAGGTGGCAGTGAGATCACAACCTAACAAGATGATACCCAGGCTTATTGTAGTATAATGAATTAATATTTTCAAGTTGTGAAACAAATCTGTTCTACGTGACCACATAGAATCCCTCTTAAATACATAAATACTATTTCAAGAACATCAAGTTTTAGTTTGTGAAGCACCATAGTTTCATCAAAAATTTAACAACGCACTACAGTCTTTAGACTTTACATTTGCTTTTGATCTAAAAATACTTTTCTGCTTACTGTGATTAAAAGTCATTTGACTTTCTAAACCATTACTGCTCCTAAATTTTATGACAATACATAAAGAATAGGATAAATACCTTTGTTGTGTAGAGGATACAACAAGCTATCATGTGCTGTATACTTTCAAAACTTGCAGGATGTTTCTTTGAGAACATGGTATTTGGTAGTGCTTGCAAAACCACTATACACTTTATCAAGATCTAAAAATCAGAAACACGAAGATTTTCATTTTAAAATATCATCCTTACTAAATGTAAAATGCTCTATTTAGGTCATGTGAGCGTTAAGACATAAAATTTTATTGTTATAAACAATTATTGATCAGTTGCTTATTAGGTAGAAAGGAGCATACACTGAGATAACAAGGCTGTGTTCAATTTTGAGAAGAGCCCTTCATCTAAACTAACTTGAAAACTAGTGAAAAGAATGAAATAAATACACAAATAAGTATAAAACGAAACCTATTTTGATAAATGTCATAAAAGACATGGGCAGAATGTTACAAGTACACAAGAAACTAAAGATCGTATGGAGGCATAGAAGGACCTTAAAAACCATACAGAGGATTATGTGGCATAGTAAATATCACATAGTGATTCCAGGTACTTGAAATAATACTTTACTTTAAAATTAAGACCAAATATTCACATCCCAGGAAATCAATGAATATTGGTGTTCATATTCTCCTTGCTTCATATCATGTTATCTGAATTTGATCAAGAGCTAGATGATTAAGTTTGGCTGTCAATATTGTTGCACAGTTGTGGGCAACATCGCTGTCAGAAAAGTAGAGCTGAGACCACAGCATTCTATTCATCATTGAGAGTATCCTCATGGACAAATTAATACATGAATGTGGATTCCTTGGGGCACATTAATTGCTTCAAGCTCTCACTCTAACAACACTGTTTGAATTGTTACAGGACACTTATTTTTAATACATTTTTAACTCCTTCCCTTCCAGGATCACCCTCTCATACTTCTCATGCCATATTCCCAATCATGTTAATATGCTAGTAGTTTTGTAGTTTTCTTGGGGCTTTTGTAATCATATATATATACACACACATACATATATGTATGTATAAATATGTAGAAGGAAGGTTGTTGTCATTTACAAAATGGGATTTATATACACTTTTCTGAACTCTGCATTTCTCTTTCAGTCATGCCTGCCTTGTAAGAAATCCCCCAGTTCTACATAGTGCTAATTCATTATTTTGAATGGCTGTATAATATTATGTGGTGTGGATCAACCATAATCTATTCACATTGCACACTTTTATGGCTAATGTTGTACAGCCTGGAAGTACTGACACTTATCTTTGTCTCCAGCCTTTTTGCCACTGCCAAGAATGTCCCAGTAAACACCCTCATACATGCTCAAGTGCCAACTCTGAGAGGCAACTGAGGCACCAACTTGAAGATGATACCCAGTGAGGACAAAACACATCATTCAGGACACAGTATACACCCTAAATCAATGCCCAGTATGTGGTACTGTGTCCCGTACATAGAACACATAGGTCCAGGAAATAAGGGTGGAACAGGGAGTAATATTTTACTGAGATAACATGGCTGTGTTAACTGGTGATTTTATTCCATGGATAAATTACTAACACAAGGATATCTGTGTCAGATGAATGTATCTTTAATTTTGCTAAAATTTTATTCCATAGGATAAATTACTGATAGAGGGATTACCATGTCAGGTACATTTGTTTCTAATTTTGTTTAAAATTAGATTTAATTGAATTAAAACTAAGATTACTTTACCAAAATCTAAATGCTTGTAACAACAAATATTTTCCAAATCAATGAATCAGAATGCCTTGGTCCTGTCTTCACAAGCAATAGGATTTACAGATCTTTTCAATTCTGCCACTGATATTACATTGTTAACTTAATATGCATTTCTATTAATATTCAGAATTCAAGCATCCTTCATATGTTTCTCAGATTTGCTCTCTTGTGAATATTCATATCATATCATGTCCCCATTTTTCTATTAGGTTATTGTCAATTTGCAAAACTCTTTGGTATATTTATTTGCCCTTCATAACATTTGGGGATATTTTTCCAAATCCATAAATTTCCTACTATCTTTGTTATCATCCCTTTCGTTACACACAGGTATCTCACATCTAGGAGTTAGTCTTGGTTCATAGTATTTCCCCCAAACACTAGACTGCACATGTCATCTCCGGGGACAATTTTCCCTGAAGTTTTTTGCTTTGTTTTATATTTAAGTCTTAATTACATGTGGACTTTCTATATTTAGTATGAATAGGGAGAAAAGTCTATTATCTTTCAGACAAATATCCAGGTATTTCACCACCATTTATTAATGTCCATCCTCTGTCCACCGCATGGGAATGCAAATTCTGTCATACATTACATTCTCACAAATATTAAGGCCTATTTCTGGAATCTCTCCTGGGTTCCACTGATATTTCATTATTCCAAACAATATAATCTAATTAGAGGCTTCTTTCTGAAGGTTTTTTCTCATAGCTCAAATCCATTCTCCTCACTGTATCCCAAGGCATCCCAAATCAGTGGGATCCTAGAAGGTAACAGTGGGTTACTGTCAACACAAGGACTTGAACACCATTTGCAGTGGCTGTTTTCCTATGTGGTATCCTCAATAAAGCACATTAAAAGGTATGTGTTTATATGGATACCTTTTCTTTTCTATCCTATAGGAAAGAAAGAAGTTCCCATTAACACTGGACAAATAAAAGTGTATACTTTGAGTACCACCCCAAAGCAAACCCTCTAACATAATATTGTGTGAAAGGACATGAACTTTCCAGACATGACTCAAAATATAATGAGCCCACCATATTGATGACATCATATTAACTGGACCTAATGAGCAAGAAATGGCAAGCACATTGAAGACCTTGATAAGATACATGCCCTCCAAAGGGAAGAAGCTTTGGGGACCTGTTGCATTAATGAAATATCTGAGAGAGGCTGGAATACCCCTCCAAATTAAGCCTGACTTCTGGCATCTCTCACCTCTAGGAAGAAAAGACCATGCCAGGTAGGTACATTTGGATTCTGGAGGAAGCATATGCCACACTTGGGAATACTGCTCCAATATATTTACAAAGAAGGCAAGAAAGGCTGTCAACTACACGTATGAGTCTAGATTTTGGAACCTCAAGACAGATCTCTCCAACAACTTCTGGTGTTAGGTTTATGGGAGAAAGAAAGGCATTTATGCTCCAGCAAACCCCCTTCAAAGTGAATAATTGTTAAGTTACTTAAGCTCTTGGTAACAGTGAAATGGAAATCTTTGGATTTTCCATAAGTTTACACACATCTTTGATTTGCAAAACCTGTGTCATGTTGTCAATGATAACAATGATGGTGACAATGATAACTTTCAGTAAGTCTAAGCAGCAAAATCTTGTTTCTCTCATTACTCCCCCATGGCAAATGAAATTCTAAGTAGTCCCCAAGATTCCTCCCCCCTATGTACAAGCCCTGTACAATCCCTTCCCCTTGAATATGGGTCAGGGCTGTGAATGTGATGAGACCATGGCTCATGATCACATTCCACCCATTGAGACTTCTCATAGCATACTGGAGGGGACGCTCCTGGCCTTGAAGAAGCAAACTGCTATTGTGGAAAAGGCCATGTGGCAGGGAATTGGTAGCTGGTCTTCAGGAGCTGATGACCTCCTACTAGGTAGCCTCAAATAAATGAATTCTCTTAACTACTACTAATATTGGAAAGGACCTTGAGCCTAAGATGAAATCATAGCCCTGTCCAATACCCTGATTTCAACCTGATAAGACCCTAAACAGAAGACCCAGCTAACCAGTATCCTCCTGATCTATTGAAATTATGAGATAATAAGTGGGTGTCTTTTCAAGCCACAAAGTTTATGGTGATTTGTTAAGAAGTGTGGATAACTGACAATCCTTTCAACCAAGTCTCACACACCCTTTTTCCATAAATCCCAATTCTTCTATCACCAAGACACCAAGTATTTCTTTCTTGGGTCAGCCATCATATCTTTCACCAGATGATGGATTTAACAATATGCTTTAAATAAACACTGCCATTTCTAATATTACAAGACCATTAAAATGGAAATAACTTACAAAACAAATTGCCAATATTTAAATATGGACAGCGTGTGGAGGAATATTTTCAAAGGAACACATTTTATGTCCTAATTTATGTTTGCCCAGACATATTATTAAAATGTTTTTCAGTTAACTCTTAAAATTTCTACTTATTTTTGACCTGTTTGAACTTCATAAGAGATATAAATACTTTTCCAAAATGAATTATTGAGTTACCTTTACAAAAATACCTTTATCTTGGGGGATGGAGAGGTAGAAGAAATACCCTTACCTGCACAGCAGGTACCAAAACAATATTGTGATAGATTATAGGAGCAAGGAGGCCATAACATTGAGTCACAGCTTGCAGGGCATAACTGGAATCATTTAGAAAGTTGCTAAGTTCCAGGGCTACCAATACTCTTTCACATTCAGTCAGTCTAGCCATCTGTAAAGAAACAGGTATTATTACTCAAGTTGAACATCAGGTACTTAACTCAAGTGTTTCTAAGGAGAATAAAAGACAAAAAATGCAATCCTTTTGGTTTAACAACTATATGAATGTTTGTTAGAAGATAATCTAAATTTAGAAACAACTCTAATACCCCAATAATGCTACTTACGGACAGCATAATCTTAGAATTAAACTTCAGATTTTTTATAATACAATGCAAACTCCGCAAATAACAGAAAAAGAACCAATTTTCATTGTGAAGATAAAATATTTGCTGTATTTTTTTTTTAGTTTTTAGATTATTTTATTTTTTTCAAGGAAAAAAAAAAAACTTTAGTAAGAACCAAAATAATATGGTGTTTAGAGATTTACCAGAAACATACAGCCCTGGAAAAAGACATTTTTAAAAAATCTTCAACTTCTAAGAATTTTTCTTTTTTTTTGAGACAGTCTCACTCTGTCACCCTGGGTAGAATGCAATGGCATTATAGCTCACAGCAACCTCCAACTCCTAGGCTTAAATAATTCTCTTGCCTCAGCCTCCCAAGTAGCTGGGACAACAGGCACCTGCCACAACACCTGGCTATTTTTTGGTTGCAAGTGTCATTGTTGTTTTGGCAGGTCTGGCCTGGATTTGAACCTGCCAGCTCTGGTGTATGTGGCTGGTGCCTTAGTCACTTGAGTTATAGGCACCAAGCCACAATTTTTTCCATGAATACAAAGAAAAAGGTTAGTTTTTCAAATTAATATGAGGGTATAATTTTTAGGTTACATTGTTCTCACTTCCAGGGTAAAGTTCCATTTGTAGAAGAGCCCCTCACCCAGGAGGTGCGTTATACACCCTCATATTTTTATGTTAGCGAAAAATCTAGTTTTCAAAAACAAAAAAATGTTAACAAGTAATAATTAAAACATAACATATGATTTATAATGAATATTAATATTATAATACTGTCCTCCCTTGATTTACAGATTGCCATTTCCCTTTTGATTTGTGAGAAAATGGTAAATTTTCAGTAAAGAAAATTAATCATCTACTATACTGCTACTTTGGCTATTTAAATAAAAATGACAATAAAATGTAAAGTAAGGGTTTTAAGACTAAATGCCACTTAAATAATAGGAGAACATACTTATTCTTCTTTCTCTTTCCTGGGGAAAGGTTTTTGTTTTTTTCTGTATATATATTTAAAACTATGTACAAAAAAAACTGAGCAGCAACCAGAAGAAATTTCTATACAGTTTTTACTAGCATGATAGGCTAGGATGCCAAAATTCCCTGAAGTGCCTTTAAATTGTCTTTATTTTCAGACCAAATATGGTAAAGGAAGAAATTGGAAGCAATAGAGTAGGAACAGGTTGGGTAGCTGTGAGTGGTTGGGCTGTACAGGACAGTGAACTCGTCTGGGGCAAAGTCACGTTATTTTCACTTTCATATCCCCAGCACTGTCTCAGCCAACAATTTACTGGTTAACTAATTAATAGATAAATGGATGGGTAGGAAAAAGCAAGCTTAAAGAAGAGGGAAAAAAAAAAAACAGATGGCTCAATTCTCCATATCTGAGGCAAGGAAAGAAAGAAAGAAGAGTAAACCTCAAAGAGGGATGAAAAATAATGCAGGATTATCAATCAGAGCAAAAGCATGATAGGCCTGCAGATGTTTATAACCACCCTGAGGAATCTGTCAACAGGAGATGGGTTAAATAGCCATCTCTGTACGTGAATCCAATATTATAATTTAAAAGAATATGGCAGATTGATCTATACCAGCATGAAAATACATCCAAGATAAATGATTAAAAGTGTTAAAAAGGATGTTGCAGAAATACCAAGTAGATCATGATCCCATTTTCATAAATAATAACAGCTTTGTCTATGCATATTTTTTTAATTAGAGAAACCATATGAAAACAAAGTTGTGGCTTTCTTAGAGGTAATAGGATGACGATGGGATTCACCTTATGCATTACACAATTTTGAATGTCTGAAATGCATACTACCTTTGTATACAAGGGGAAAAAAATAAATTGAAAAGAAGAGAAAAAACAAACATGAACTTAGGCCTGTGAAATCCATATGAAATATCCACTAAAGCGGCACAATTGTACAATGATACGTCTCAGTTCATTCACAAGACAGAATGTGCAATCCACATCTACTAAGTGTAGAGTACACATGTCTTAATACAATAGTTAAGAAAATGTGGTGACCGCTTTGGTAACCAGTTTGTTGTAAGTATTTCAAATTGTATATAAAACCAGCACCTTGTACCCCATAAATGCATTAATGTACACAGCTATGATTTAATTAAAAAAATAAATAAATATGCAAAATTAAAGAATAAAAACAGTTTCCCTAAAAAAATGAACATGTAAGCCCATAAGAACATGACCTTGAAACATCAAGAAGCAAATATAGCGGATCTGATATGTTTTTAGTCACTTTAATTCACTTACTTGTTGAGAAGGGAAAATCTCATTGCCTTTAATATTATCACAGAAAAGATTTTCTTCTTTAATTTTAATGTCACTTGTTACAAAAATATTTCTAAGAAAAAGGTACAAAAGAATTGAAGACGTCTCTGCCAAAACATCTGAACGTAATCTGCAAAATAAAGTAAAGGATGTTACAGGTATAAATATAAAATAATCTGGCATGCAAACTCACCTTTTTAGATTGATTTGTTCTCCATATCTACACAATGACGTCAAGAAAGCCACAAAAATGTGTGGAATTCTTGCACAGCTGTTTATAGCAAAATTAAAAGCTATCCTCAACAAGTTGACAAGTAATAAAATCAAAGTGCTAAAATATGTATTATATCACAGTACACAAAATTAACTAATAGCAAAGTTTTCTGGTTCTACTATATGAAGTTCCCTTCTACCATATAATGAAATCACCATAGGTTTTCAAAAGGTTGAGAAATAGGCCCAATATTTCAATTAATGAACTTTCTGAAAATGAAGCAAACTCAGCCATGGTTAAAAATAAGAGAAAGAGAATCTTAATATTAGATTAGAGAATCTTAATATTAGAATCTTAATAATAATCTTAGTATTATTTCTAAGTGTCTTTTCTAAATTGTAGTCAACGAGCCAACCATTGGCAAAGCTGTGAGATCTATGCTCTTCCTTGTGTCCACAATTCTCTCCCTTGCCCTTTGCCTTACTTGCCAACAAACTCTCCCTTTTAAGTTTAGGTTCATTTACTTTTCATAATCCCAATCCTGTAAAATAGGAAAGTAATTCCCACATGAAGATTATCCTTTTCACCACCATTTTAAACTCTGAAATTATCTTTACCAAGACAGTATTCCCATTCCTACAACTCCTACCAAAATTTCTCTTTGTATCACAATGACCTTCAGCACATGACCCATGCAACTAGTCCAGGCTGTCACTTCCTGGCTCCATTTCCTTACCTATCTAGCTCAGACTCTGGCCAGTCTTCTCTACAGAGACCTTTTCAGCACATTCTGTTCTGTCACCTCTTTATTTTATGCAATAATCAATTTAGCTGACCTTACAGAGGTGTCACTCTCCAACTTTGCTACCCCTGCCATAATGATCAATCTCTGACTTATTCTACTCATTCATTCTTTCACTCAAACCAGCATTTGCTGAATGCCTATTATGTACAAGACACTGTTCTAGACCCTGGGATATAAAGATGAATCAAATGTGGCCCAGCTACAAAGAGCTGGGCTTCGCTACAAATTCATGTTAGATACCATCAACTGAGTCATTACTGTTCTTAGCAACACTTCCACTTATCTCTATTGTCTTCTTTTTCACATTGCCCACAGAATTCTCAATCCCCTGCCCTCTTATATCCTCCTAACTCTGCCGTCCAGTAGTGTCATCACCACTTACATTTTCTTGTATCTTCACTCTCTCCTTCTGTACCGGGTCCTACCCTCTACTCTCAAAAATTCCTTCCAGAAGTCCCCTCCTCAAGCTTCCTCCTGCTTTCCACTCTTCTTTTACCACCAAACTTCACAAGTGGTCTTTGCTTGTTATGATTTTTTCATTGTCATTTTTTCCTTAGACATTACAAAATGGTTTCTGGACCATGCCACAAAAGTGATTCTGTTGAATTCACCAGTGGTATCTTAATTGCCAACTCTAAAAAATCTCTGTTTGTGATTACTCTACTCAGTCTCTTTGTAGCATCTAATTGAGCAACCTCTCTTCCTGACCTTGCACAGCATTTAATATCTCTGACCAGTCCCTCTTTTGTGATATTCTCATTTCCCCAGGCAACGGACTTTCCTGAACTTTCAGTTCCTGGACAGCTCCTTTTCTATACCCTTTCTTGGTTCCATCTCTTGCTTTTGCTCCTTACATATAAGCAATGTCCAGGGCTCATTTCCAGCCTTCTAACTTTTCTGATAAATAGTCATTCTGTGGGAAATATCACTCATTTTCAACATTTCAATGATGACCTCAATGGACAATTTCTAAATTCATATCTTTAGCCTAGATTCTGTTTTGAGAGTCAGCACTAAATAAATAAACCTATCCACTAACTCATATTCACAAAGGCCTCCTGCTGGGAAACCAATTCAAGATATCCCAAATAAAATTAATTATCTTTCTCCAAAAACTACTTCCACCTCTAATGCATCCTTAGTAAATCTCATAGATGTTAGCTTGGCGCTCATAGCACAGTGGTTACAGCACCAGCCACATACACCAAGGCTGGGAGGTTCAAACCTGCCCCAGGCCTGCTAAACTAAACAACAATGACAACTGCAACAAAAAATAGCTGGGTATTGTGGCAGGCACCTGTAGTCCCAGCTACTTGGGAAGCTGAGGCAAGAGTTTGACGTTGCTATGAGCTGTGACGCCACGGCCCACTCTACCAAGGGTGACATAATGAAACTCTGCCTCAAAAAAAAAAGTTACAGATGTCCAAGTCAGTAAACACTAGAAATCCCAGTCACTTTTTACTCCTTTCTCTCTCTATCCCCACAAGTCACATAAAACCTTAACCTCTTCCTCCTCCAAAATGTCTCTCAAATCCAGCTAGAACCTAACAACCTTGTACATAGTAAATGCTAATTCAACATTTGTTTAATTGAATGAAATTACATGTATAATGTAAATAAACATTATCAATGCTTTGCCTCAACCAATATTTGCATTTTAAGCACATTATCATTGAGGTATGAATGGGGTCTTGCTCTGTTGCCCAAGCTGGAGTGCAGTGGTGTGATCATAGCTCAATATAGCCTGGAACTCTTGGCTCAGGCAATCCTCTTGCCTCAGACTCCCAAGTTGCAGGGATTACAGGTGCGAGTTACTGTGCCTGGCTGGTTTTATCTTCTTACGTAAAATCTTTCAGGCATTATTAACAAGCAGGTGACAGAGATTCTTGTTGCTTTTTAACTTGTTGTTAAGACAGCTTAAAATCACACTAATGCTCATTTTTGAGGCTGCTCTTAAATTTTATTCTTTTAAGGAAAATTGCCACAAAGATGGGATGGCCTGTAGTTTTATATGGCTTCTACTGACATATTTGCAGTTGTCGATGGTCTAACCCTGGGAGCCACATCAAGCAAAGGAAAGCCATCTTACCTTAAGAGTCCACCTGTCAGACTCTAACCTTAACCCCAGCTGGTACAAAGTCCCCAATGCACATTTGTGTTTTCTGTATAATTGATACTACTGTGGTTAGTATTTGGTATTTTTATTTTGTAACTTTCATCCTTATGCTCTAGTTTTTTTTTTTTTCTGACTCTAGCAAGAAAGTTTCTAACTAGGACATGAGCCCTTGAAATGTATATTTATATTATGACTCTTGTTAGAAAACAGTTTTATATGAACTACCTTAACATGAAATTGAAAATGAATTAATTCAAGGCTTCCCAACCCAACATCTATATTTTCAGTAAGCAAATTAATGTTTTACAAGGAATATTTCTGCTTACCTCCTCTGTGTAATAGTCATTACATTGTTTAAACTAACAACAGATTGTTCAGCCTGAAGTGGTGAAGCAACAAAATAATCCCAAACTGGTGTGAAAACTTTCTCAGCCAATTCATAGTTGCCTGTCTGATACGAAACCTACAAGAAAAAGCACGTTAGCTGAAAGCAATATTTTCATTTATGAAATGTATATTTTAAAGGAGGGTTTTTATAAGGTTCTATCATCCCTTAATTTCATATAGAGTTGTTCACATTTGCTTTTCTGTTCTACAGTGCCATAGTGAGGTAACGATGGTCATCGGCAAGGGAGACAGACACATTTTTAAAATCTCTTTTATTTCTAAATGGCATGGAAATTTGAAACTCTGTAAGGATGTTTCAAATCCTCATAAGCAAAACAAAGATCACATCTGAGCCAAATTAATTTCATTTCCATCTATCTCAGCAGTGCACTCCATTTATTATAGATACTGTTATAATGAACAATCTGTTCCAAGAGAAACAATCAGATTTCCCAAACCCAATATATGAAATGTACCTATTCTTTTCTGGTCCTGACTGACACTTTCAGAGCTTTTGTGCAATAAAAACTTCACAGCTGAAAGAGTAAAGAATAAAACAGAGATGCTTTCCAAAAAGCCATGCTATGTTTTAAGTTTAACAAATTTAGCACAATGCAAAATAAATGATCTCACTAGTAAAGCTCAGGAGAAAAAAAAATCATCAACTTACCTATTTCTTTTGGTAGAGTACATTTCTTTAAAGATATTTCTAAAAATCATTCTATTTAACTATGCATATAACAATACAAAACCTCACCAAATTAGTTATGAGTCACTCCAAATCCTTTATGGAAGCAGGTAGGGCATAAACTATAAATAAATTCATTGAATGAATCATGTAAATGACATATTACTAGAATATTTTCTACTCAAGAGAATAAGTTAGAGGGCTAGAAATTTTCAAATCTGACAAATGGGTACTTAAGATCAATCAACCAGGATGCTTTATGAAGTTTCTACTCTGTGCTAAGCACTATAGGTAAAGATTCTTCAAAGCTTAGAAGTGGTCTCATACTCCATGGAACTGGAATCACATTAAAGGCCTACAACACGTAAAATCACAGAAAAACTACAAAAGATCACATTATAATTGGGGAGGCTTTACAAGAAAAGAAATACAAACCTTAAGGAGAAGGCAGGGCTTAAGCTGAGCTCTAAGATTTTTTTTTTTAATTGAATGGTAACTGTGTACATTAATGCACTTCTGGGGTACAGTGTGGTGTTTTCACACACAATCCGAAACACTTCCATCAAACTGGTTAACATAGCCTTCATGTCATTTTCTTAGTTCTTGGAGCTCTAAGATTAAGGTTAGCATGGTTTAAATAGAATCTGAAAAAGGTCCAGTAGTAGAAACTGCCGAGATGTATTTAGGAAGGACACTTCAGAATTTGAAGAAAAGTGGGCGATGTAATTGGGCAGGTTAAAATGAGACATGATGTCAAAAGGCCTCGCAAGGCTTCACAAATAAGGTGGAAGTATTTACAGATGTCAAGCACTGGACTAAGCAGTTCACATTCATTTTTGTTCTCATTACATCTCAATCAAGCGAGCTCTATCACCATTCATATTTTGTAGACGAGGAAACTAGAGCATTGAGAAGTTGAATAATTTGTAGATAGCCTGACAGCAAAAATATTAGAGCTGAGTCTTACAGTGGCAAATGTGTTGCTTCTCTGGGCTGCACTTGCCAAATGCAGAGCTAGACTAAGGGGTCACTAAGACCATAATATTCTTAAGATTTACCACGAATTACAACAACACATGACGTGTAAGGCAGGTGGTGAAACTATAATTGACTGCTCTTTCCTTTTTAAATACATACTTTTTAAAATAATGGTTTTTGTTCAATTAGTAAACATGGTGAAACAAAAACCCATGAGAAAACTATGGTTTGTAAAATCATGAGGTTTTGTGGGGTTTTTAACAGAGGAGTTCCACACTATAAGCATGTTCAAAGATGGTTAACCTGGTAGAGACATGCAATATAGAGTTTAGAGGGGTTAGAATGAAATGAGAAAGAAGAACTAAAAGACTAATGAAAAAAACTAAGTATAGTCAATAACTCCTCTGGGATGCCTGATCTCCACTTGGCTTCCAGAACTCCACTCTCGGTTTCCTTTTTACTCCAAAAACCACATTCCTTTTCAGTTGCTTTTCCTAGTTCCTCGACTTTTCCCCAATTTCATTCTATTGGTATGTCCCAGGGTGCAGTCTTTGGACTTCTCCTCTTTTTTCTCTACATTAATTTCTTTGGTGATACCATCCAGTCCCATAGTTTTATCACATAGCTATTCTCAAATCCCTCTCCTGCCCAGACCTATCTCCCAAACTCCAAATTCATACATCTAACTGACTGCTCAGCAGTTCTCTCTCTATATAATAAATCTTGCCTCAACATGCCCCCAACTGAACTTCTGACCCCCCATCCCTAAATTTACACTATCCACAGCCTTCCCCAACTCAACTGATATCAGCTATACACTTCCGACTGGTCAGCTAATATCTTACAGTCATCTTTTGTTTTTCTCTTTATATTATTTCCATCAGGAACCTTCCTATCTTATCTTTCAAAATATATCCAGAATCTGACCACTTCTTACCATATCAACTACTACCATATTGGCCAACCCACCTCCATCTCTCATGGGGTTACAGCAGTGAATGGTGTTTCTGCCCTTATCCCCTTATGGTCTATTTCTAACATGGCAGTCAGGATGAATCTTTGTAAACAGAGGTTACACTGTCATACCACTACTCAAAACCATCCAATGGCTGCCCAGTTCCCTCAAGGCAAAGGCTAATGTCCTTGTAATGACCAAGATGTCTTTTCATTATCTGCTTCCCTACACCCCAGTCATTTCTTACCTCTCTACCCAATCCTTTTACTGCCCATGGGTTACTCTGCTCCAGTCATATTAGCCTCCTTGCTGTTTATGAAACACACCAGATGCACTTCTACAAACCTTAGGACTTTTGCCCTCCCTGTTACTTCTGTCAAATACCCTTCCCCCCAGAGAGCTACTCTGAGTAGCTCTTTCAAGTGTCTGCTCAAATGTCACCTTCTTTGATCACCTTACCACACCTAATATGGTAATATATCTTCCATTCCTTCATTTCATATTTCCAATTCCTCTTATAAAACTCCATTTGTTTTTTCCATGGCACTCATCATCTCCCAACATACTAGATAACATATTTACGAGATAACATGTTTATCACCTATCTCCTACCATGGTATTTGTTCATTTTGCTTAGAACAGCAGTTTACAAAGTTTGATCCCTGGACCACCAGCATCACCTAGAAACTCATTACTAATGGAAATTCTGATGTACTCAAGTTTTAAAATCATTAACCTGAAGAAATGCCTCGCATAGAATAAGAACACAACAAATAATGTGAACAAATTTTAAAATCCTTTTTCTGATCGTTTCCCTCTACCCATGGAGGAGGATACCCATCAATTGTATTAGACTATAACATGGTTAGCAGGTCAAGGGTGAGTGCCTGAACCAAGCTGGGTTTCTCAAAGCGATGGACCCTTCCCCAAAGCTTGGTTCTAATGTTGAGGCTGATAACACTCCATACACTAGGAGAATTTGAGAAAGAGTGTTACTACTTACACAAGACTCCAGAGGAGAGGTGGGCAGGCACAAGCAGGTGTGGTCTGACTTAAGTGAAACAGAGAGAGTGGATCAGACCATTATAGGGACTAAGATAGGAGTGGGGAAAGTCCAGGCTGACTGGAAGGTTTAAATTTCCTGCTGGCACCAAAGGAGAAAATTTCATCAGCCTGCCCAGATGTGGAGCCAAAGAAAAAAGAAGGGTGAGGCTTAAAAACAAGTCAGTTGCCACACATCAAAAATGAGATCAGACTCTTTATCAAACTGGTGTGAGACAGGGGGGATCAGATTCTCTTTCCCAAGAATTTAGATTCAAGATTGGGAGCCAGTTAGTTTATAGGTGAAATTTAAATATACATATGATAAAAATTTAGGAACTTCAGTTTTTCCTCCAGAAATGGAGATGTAAAGAAAGCCTCCCATTAGAGTACAACAAAGAAAATGTGCACAGAGAACCAAGGGTGGAAAGACTTTGAGTGGCCTGCACTGCGTAGCCTTCCCAGTGCCTAGTTGCTTTACTCCAAGCCACACTGGTTCCTTTACTTGCAGTCGGGATCTTAACTGAAACCAAAAGTCAAAATTATCTAAATAAGGTGACTGCAGTGGTAATAAGATTGATAAAAAAAGACATTTCAAAGTTAGAACAGATGACTTCTAGCATAGAATCTGGCACAAAGTAGACATTGACTAAATCATTCATCCATAAATAGATGAGTAGAGAGAGTGATGATTTTCAGTTAGAAGAGGGAAAAGAAGAGCAAGCTTAAGAAAGGGGGATGATTATTTTTTATCTGTAATTATTTTTTAATATGAATAGTCACAGGCAAAAGGTAAGCCTTTCTTTATCAAAGAGTTTTATTGAATTCATATATAAAATAGAGACAATATATGAACTTTATTTCCCTTTCTCCCACCACTATCATGTTGCTGACTAGCCAATATTGATCACAAAGACTGGCTTTGCTTGATCAACACCAACTCAGGAAAAAAAAATTTCTTAAAAAATTGAGAGAGAAAGACATGAAAACAGTAAAGGGGAGGGAAAGGAACTAAAGAAAAGACAAGAACTAAAAGGTCACTTAATAAATGAGAGAGGGCGGCGCCTATGGCTCAGTGGGTAGGGCACTGGCCCCATATACCAAGGGTGACGGATTTGAACCCAGCCCCAGCCAAACAACAACAAAAAATACCCGGGTGTTGTGGTGGACACTTGTAGTCCCAGCTACTCGGAAGGCTAGGGCAAGAGAATTGCCTAAGCCCAGGAGTTGGAGGTTGCTGTGAGCTGTGGCACCACGGCACTCTACCAAGGGCGACAAAGTAAAACCCTGTCTCTTAAAAACAAACAAACAAAAAGAATTGGTACATGTTAGGTGTCCAACATAATGACTTCCCAAAACCTGCACAGACCCGTAGAAAGGCATGAGCTGGTCCGAGTGTCAGGTTCACCAGCTGCTACCTGAGCAACCTGACACATTACTTACTCTCCCTGATACAGCCTTGCTGGAATATGGTGGGATTGGCAGAGGAAGTATTAAATTAATTTCAATTTCTTCAAATATAAAATGAAAGTAATAATACTACCTCATGGAGTTAATTATAAAGAATGGAATAAGGAGTTTTAAATACCTGGCACATAGTGATTTTTTAATAAATAATATTCCCCATTTCCTTATCTCAATAAGCTATTGTGCCTAGTATTTGCTTTGGTGGTTCAACAATCCAATAGAACCTAGCATTTGCTCTTATGTCCATTTTACAAATAGGAAAATTGAGACCAATCAGTTTGCCTAAAATCATAATCTCTATGGTCCAGATTAGAATCCTGCTCACAGATTTGAAGTTTTCTATATTCTCAACACATTATCTAGCCATTTTCTACTTAAAAAGGAAGAAGAAAAAGACATGAGGTCAAAAAAAGTAGAGAAAAATAGCTCTAAAAAGTGTATAATTCATAAAAGTTGCTCAAAAAGTTTTCTAGATAGACAAAATTGATATCCCACATTTAGGGGAAACCCAGAAAAGACTTATTTGACTTTATAAATGTTTACAGAATAATGCTGCATAAAAGTACAACCTAAAATCCCCAAATTCAAGTTAATCACAGACACTTAGTGAAATACCTCCATACTTTGCTATATTTATGGTAATATGTTTTAAAGAACACAATTGTCCTAAAACTAAAAACTAACCACTCCCATGAAAATTACATTGCACTTACAAAATAAAGGTACATTAACTTGCTAAAACTTAAAAGCTTCAACTTAAGTTGTAAATTAAGGAAGGCTAATGTATGAGAAAGTTTTGCTTTAGCCACTTAACATTATGACAAAGAATGCTCATAAATGAACTAGAGAACTGCAAATAGCATATCAATAAAGAAACACGGGTCATTACTTCATGACACTTCTCATTATGCCAGCAGTATAGCTTGGACTTAGTTTTATTAACTTTCAATGAAAGTTCTGCCAAATGGAGCCCAAGAGTCAAACTACTCCCTGGAGAAAAATTAGGCCTGAATGAAATATTCAGTTTCTCACAATAACTCTATCACTGCCAATTAGGGAATATATTAGATTCCAAAGACATCACAATACCAGAAAACCATGAGCCAATATGACATGCTAAACCAATGCTAGACAAATCCTAGCAATTCTCTCAATTTAATTTTCTTTGAAAAATATGATAATATAAAACTCACATTCTAGCTTATGATCCTAATCAATGACTATGACTGAGAGAAAAATAGCATGATAGAAATATGATAAAACTGAGAAGAACCATCAGCTCTACAGCCAATAATAGCCCTACAAGTAGATGCTTAAGACCTACATCGGTTAGTCCCTCTTTCTAGTATCTTCTTCATAGGTGACATGTTTTAAGTCAGGCAACAGCTATTTCAGCAAAAACATTAATGCAGAAGTATATGTGTAACTAAAGACAATAATACTGTTTATTCAGTGCCTATGTGTGATAAATGCTGCAGTGAAATATTTGCCATGCATAATTCCATTTAATACTCATGAAACTTTTGGGATGTAGTTACTGTTATTATTCTCACTTCCCAGATGAAGATTACTTATCCAATATCACATGGCTAGTATGAGGAGCTAGAGTCTGAACTTAGGTTGATCTGTCCCCATTTACTCAGAAATTTCATTTCTATGAAATGAAAATAATCACAGATGTAGGTAAAGATTTATATGCTAAGGTGTGCATCATGGCTTTGTTTATCATAGCAAAAGACTAGAAAGTATCTAAATGCCCAACAACAAAAAATTATTAAACAAACTATAAGATTCCTAAGATTATCCATAAGATTCAATGCTATTAGGCCGTTAAAAATTATGTTCTGAAAGAATATTTAATGGAATGGGGAAAAGTCAATTACATATTAAAGTATCAGGCTGTAAAATAGTATACATACTACATTTAAAGTTCTATATTATACATAAATTCATTACATACATTGTGCATATATATATATAAGTATATATACATACATAGGTATATGTATCATAAATAGGCAGATAGATACGCAAAAATAAAAGGATATCTCTGGATCAGGGTTTCTCAACCTTGGCACTATAAACATTTTATGTTGGATAATTCTTTGTCGGAGGGTTTATCTGGTACATCATAGGGCGACTGTCAGCATCCCTGGCCTCCACTCACTAGAAGCCAGTAAGACCCTGCTAGGTTGTGCCAACAAAAAATTTCTCCACCTAGTGACAAAATTATCTCATTAAGAACTACGATGCTGGATAACAGAAAAACAAGTAGCATTTTCTTCTTTATGCATTTCAATATTTTCCAAATTTTCTAAAATTAATATGTGGTACATTGTAATCCAGGAAAAAGTGTCATTGTAAAAAATAATTCACTAATAAGAAAATAAATGATTCCTATTTTATGATACTAAACTGTAATAACGGAAAAATACAATACAGGAGCTTGAGAATAATTGCTGCTTTTTTTCCCTCCATCAGAAATTACCTAGTAACTGCTTAATGGAGAAAAACATAGTGGAAAAATTAGCAGAAATCTCTTCTACCTGTGTCAGGAACATCCGAGCTGTAACAGCAGAAAGAGGTGGATAAATCAGAATTGGTTTGGTTGTCTCCCCAATGGCACCACCGATAAGCTTTCCATTAGAAGAATAAGCAGCAATTGCAAATATGTAGCTTTCATTGGTTTCTAAACCTTTCACTTCAAAAACGCTTTTACCATCAGCTGGTATCTATTAACAAAAGTATATTTCAAGTTAAACTTGGAGACTTGAAATAATGTGACTGCCAAAATATAATTAAGTAAACTTTATATGTAAAAACCTCTTCTTTCATTATTGGATTTTAATTGTGACTCAAGCATTTAATTAAAGAAATTAACTAAAAGAATGACTTCGTAAAAAAATTTAATTGTCATTATGAAGGCTTTGCTAACATTTTCTGACATTTAAGTCAACATACCGCTTCCCCTGAATTTGGGAGATGATTGTCATTTAGTCGTACTTTTCCATAACTTCCTTCAACTTTACGGCCCAAAATGCAGTACCATGAGACCTGCCAAGGAGAATGATGAGCCCATCACTGGCAGTCCATTTAAAAGGCATCCTATTCTTTCATCTCAATGTAGCAAAAGGAATACTTTTCTAGACCAGGAGCACTGGCTCATGCCTATAATGCCAGCATTTTGGGAGATCAAGGAAGGAGGATCACTCAAGCCCAGGAATTTGACACTGCCCTGGGCAGCACAGCAAGACCCATTTCTACAAAACACACATTTTTTTTTATTTTAAGAAAGGAATACTTTTCTAAATAAAAATATGACCATGCAAATTATAAAACAGGAGATCCAAGTTTACAAATATACTTCGGTTTAATTTTAGAAAAGTAAAGATAAATATAGGGCTGGTTTACCTGGGACAATTGAGACTTTTCATTAGAAGAATAAGCTTTCCAATAAATAAATAAATAGTATTTATTATTAATTACTTTACTATTAACTGAGCAGTTCCTGCCTGCTAACTATTGTTAGGAAATTTACAGATACTTTCTGATATTCACAGCATCCCCATGAGATGGGATTCCTGTTGACATTTTGCTTCACAGGAAATGGAGATGCAGAGATGTTAAATAACTTCATCCAAGATCAGACAGACAGTGGCCAGGGTTGACTCATTCTAACAAGACTTAATCTTGATGAAGAAAAAGATCAACACGGAAATGATTTTCACAATTTATGTGATATGCCAAAAAGCAAGTAGGAAAAGAAACAAAATACTAACTTGAGGTATTTTAAATAAAATGTAAAACTACATGTGAAAAAACCTGGAAGAAAATGCCCCTAAATAAGAGTAAAGGGCTTCAGATGATAAAATGATGACAGATGATACATATTTTTTCTCCAGTTCATAAATTATTTTGGTAATTTTTTAAAATATAAGCCAAACACAACATGCAAGTCCCACAACCAAACTTAAAGTCAATTAAACAGTTGGACAATCGTCTTTCTACCAAGATGTCAAAGTAATGGAGAGTCATTGCTGGAATAATCTGTTCTCACTGTAGCAGAAAAGGGAGCAAGTTGATGCCCAAGGGAGTAACTTGATGACCAAGCCACACTATTGGGGAGGTGTGGGAAGTCATCCCTGTGGCCTTTCCTTTTACCCAGAGGCAACTCCTAAACTACAGGGAAGCTGGAGAGAAAGGAAAATGTAATTGTCTCTAAGAAGCAGTGGCCTCTTATATAAGGTGACCAGACGTCCCACTTTTGGTGGGATAGTCCCAATTTTTAACAATTTCTCCCACATCCCAAGGCGTTTTTAAAAAGTCCTGATTTTTGGAAAGAATGCAGGACAAGCTAGGGAAGGGTGGGAGAATGGGAAGGGAATACAGATTTTTGGCTGCTGAAAAGGTTAATGTAACTCCATTTAGGAATGAAGAGGTTAATGTAACTTCATTTGGAAATGAAAAGGGTAATGTAAACTCCCTACTCCCCTCCTGGGCAAGGTTGCCCAGGTGGAATGGGTATCAGGAGACTGGCTCCCTCCCTTGCTTCTAGGCAAGGACAATTAGCTCAGAAGGAGCCAAACTGGAACAAACAAGTAGCACCCCCACCAGAGTAAGGTGACTAGATATCCAGCTTTTGGCAGGACAGTCCCAATTTTTAATAATTTGTCCCATGTCCTACACGTTTTAAAAAAGTCCCAATTTTTGGAAAAAATGCATAGGGAATGTGGAAGAACAGGAAGGGAATATACGGTTTTCAGTTGCCTTGGGGCTATTTTACCAGGATATGAGTTTTATATTATTTTTGTTAATTTTATAATGTTAAACTTTAATAATAACAAATAATTGTTAAGAACTGATTATCAAGAACTGCTTATCAAAGTTTGCCCCCCCATGTCAATGGTGTCCTGCTTTACCAATTTAAAATCTGGTCCCCTTACTCTTACACCTTCTGCCTACCCCTCCTCCCTCCATGTCAACAGAAGAATCCTAAAGGTGTCTCATCTACATGAGTCATTCTCAACCCTGCCTGTGCTCCAGAATCACTTCTTTTTTTTTTTTATTTGTAGAGATAGAGTCTTACTTTATCACCCTCGGTAGAGTGCTGTGGCATAGCTCGCAGCAATCTCCAACTCCTGGGCTTAGGTGATTCTCTTGCCTCAGCCTCCCAGGTAGTTGGGACTACAGGCACTCACAACAACACCCAGCTATTTTTTTGTTGCAGTTCGGCCAGGGCTGGGTTTGAACCTGCCACCCTCAGTATATGGTATATGGGGCCAGCATCCCAGAATCACTTCTTTAAAACATAATCTGAACAAAATCAACCACTTTCTTAAATTACAAATACCTACACATGCATAGCTTTAGTGAATTAGAATTTCTAATGTAAGTATCTGAACCTTTATAATCAGAAAGAAAACATCTCAGGTGTTTGTGGTATATACACTTGACCAAAGCGTGCTAGTCAAAGGCAGGAGAATGCTAAAGACAGGGAGAACATGGAAAGAACCTGGAAGCTGGAGGCCAGGGGAAAACATCAGATGAATCTCAGAAAAAAATTCAAAACTAACTTCCTTTTAATTCCCCCAGCAAAAAGAACACCATTTTTCATAAGGAGAGAAAAAAGGCAAATAAAATGTGTTATATGATTCAGATCATTATTGCTCTCAGTTCTAATATAAAACCAGAATTTTGAGAGTAAAACTCTCTCTAAAAGCATTTTTACAAGCAGACTTTATATTTTGATTTGGTTCCACAGATGAAAATGTCTGTTTGTGAAACTCTAAGAAGCAATGTATACTTAGAATCTGCGTAAGAATAGAAACACCACAAACAAATCACAATTAACTTTAGAAGAGTTTGTGTACGACATAAATAACATCAGCATTTTCAACTATAAAAACAGATTTTAATGAAATGAATGTCTTAATAAAAGATTTTGAGAAGACAAAAGATGGCTGAAGTGTCAAACCAGAAAACTTCTTTAAGCCCACAGCACCATCTAGTGCTGGTAAGAAGGTAACAGCTGGTGATGATTTTCTGGAATTCTCCGTATGATACAACAAATGCATAATAAAATAGACTAGAACAGGCTAATTAATAAGTCCTAAAACTACAGGTCAAATATGGAACTCTTATATCTTATAAGAATTATGAAATAAAATAAATTAGACATCAAATTAAAATACATAAAAATTAAGACTTTGTTTAAAGAAACCAAAATATTTGAATAAAAACAAAACTTCCTACTAAATCATCCAATCTTGGTTCTGTACTAATTTTCTAAAGTCAGTGAAGCTCTTTTATTAAACAGATTCAAAAAATACAAAGATGAACTTTAAAACTTCTAGCAATAGCAATAATGCATTTATTATAACACGGGTGGAAGATGAATGTTACTTCTATTCCCCCAGTTACAAAGCACCGTGAAGGTGGCATAACTCCTCACTGATGCTCATCTTCCATTCTTCCAAAGCTCCTCAAAGAATAGACCAACGCTCTGTTCATGTTTATCTTTATACCTCAATAACCTCACACAGAGCTTGACAAATTACAGATAGTCAATAAGTGCTCACTGGACAGACATTATGAAAAATATCATCAAATAACATTCACAGTCTATAACTTGATGACTTGTGTTAAGTGAACTTTACTACATAAGTTTAATGTTAGGAGTGGAGAGACATCTGTTCATATGCGAAGAATATTGTATGCATCATCTCACTTAATTTTCACAGTAAACAGAGCTTACAAATGAAAAGGGGGGGAAATAACATCTCCGAAAATGTATTTCACTTTTGTAAGGTCATACTGCTCGTAAACAGCAGAGTTAGAATTTTAATCCTAAATCTGTCTGACTTCAAGGCCTACATTCCTTCCACCAAACTAAGTTGATGTAAATTCAAACAGAACATCCTAAAGAGAATCAAAGATTACATTTATTAAATTTGTTACTTTTATATAACATCAAGGAGCATAGTGTTGATCATCTAAAAGAGGGAAATACAGAATTTAAAACATAAATTACATAGAACCAAATTCTTATGAGGAAATCTCAAGTTTTAGTCACATTGAAGCCAAGTTCCAAGGTATTAGGGAAGGTAGAAAAAACTCATCCTTTAATAAATACACAAAGATTTATGATTTATAGTATAATTGGAATTGCCCTTTGCATTGAAAAAAAAATACACATTAATTGCTTTTAGTTTATTTGGAAGAACTTTGGACAAAACCTCTAGATTCGTCACCCCCAAATTTCCACACTCTGCTACCTCATCTTTGTCATGGCCTTGAGAGTAACTTTTATTCTCTTCAAATGGCCAATCCACTTCAAGACAGGCCACCTTGAGGGTACTAGGACTTCAGCATATGACTGTGTCCTGGTGACAAAGATACTTAGAGGGACATGTATTTCTGCTGCGCCCCAGAGCAATGTATTTGAGTATAGCAATACTACACAGAGCATACCATAAAGGGCAAAATGTAACACAGAAACTAAGTATAGTAAGACATACAATACTAACCCAGTGCTCCATGCTTAGAAATAAGACTGTTCAGGTCCTAAAAGTAATTAAAGTGTCAACCATTGTAGACATAAAAGTGCTCATGTTGCTTTGGATGGGGCTAAGATCATAATGGACAACATACCCTGACATCCGAAATAAAAGGAGCAGGTTTGAGTGTCACAGAACAATGAGTTCGGGATAACAGGATGGGTGGAGGAGGGATTTTGCTTTTCTTTCTCTTTGAGCTTTCCAAATATTTCTGATAAGAATGTAGGGCATTTTGTTCTGCTTCAGTCTTCTCGATTAAAGAATATGCTTCCTGTAATGAAATATGAAAATAGAAAAATATATTTTAAGAGCTTTAACTTAATTTATATTTGCAGAATTCTGGTGGAGTTAAGCAACATAATCTTTCTATAGCCAGCTTCTTGAACCTCAGAGGGGTGTGTGTGTGTGTGTGTGTGTGTGAGCATGTGCATGTGTGTGAGATTAGTTTTTGAATGACTTTGTAAAAGTAAAAGATGGCCACTAAATAAGGCTAAGCATGATCACCAATGGCATCATATTTCTATGTCTACTATGTTTACCATTATTATCATACATTAATATGGGACATTGCATTTTAAATCAAACTCTGAATATCTACCATATATTTCATTGTCCTTAAAAATTTCATAACACAATCATCTGCATTCATACTGATGAACTATATGCCTGCCCTTAATTCAGCTTGAGGTGTGAGTCTCAGATAATGAAACTATTGGTATACGTGGTTCGTGAAATGAATATAATTGAGAGTTTCTTATTATCAACACGAAGAAATAAGAAGATAAAAACACATTCTGTAAACTTAAAGAAAAGGCAAAGTGTTTTTAGGGGGGGTTTTCCCCTTTTCTTTACTTATCAAAATTCACCATGCTCCTAGTTTAAGGATTCATAGCTCCACTGTGGTTCGTTAGAAGAAAAATAGCAGTCCCCCCGCCATCACCACTTCTTCCTATTGTTTAGCTGATTATTTGAACATTTACCTGCATAGTATAATAAATATATTCGGTGTTTGTCCCAGCTCCTGTCACAGAGCTCCTAAAACCCACAGAAGTTTCTGATTGGTAGAACTGTCTTTTGGCATTCCAAAGGAACTGCTTTCCAGAATACTTGAGATTATGCTAATAAGGTGATCAGCACAGGTTCCCTAGACAGCCTCAGGACGGAGCTGGGCACCACAAAGACCAAGTCAGCATCACTTTTTTAAAAGGTTATATTCAGAGAGAGAACACACAAATCCAAAAGGAAACATAACAATTATACCTAAATAACATCTAAAAGTAAAGCAATAATAATACATGTAAATGAGTTAAATTAAATTAAAAGGTAAAAAGACTCTCTTACTAAGCTCCAAGCAAAAAACCATGTAAAGATTAAAATTAAATGGATGAAGGAGAAAGAATAGTCTTTTCTCAGCAAATGATGCTGACACAGCATGGGCAACTACACGCTAAGGAATTAAGTTGGACTCCTGCTTCATATCATAGACAAATATTACCTCAAAATGAATCATAGACCCAACTACATGTAAGAGCTAAATTATAAAATTTTTAGGAGAAAACATAGGAAAAATCTTTATGACCTTAAGCTAAGCAATGGTTTCTTAGATGCAACACCAAAAGCACACTGACAAAATAAAAAGTACGTAAATTAGAATTCATTAATATGAACACCTTTGTGTTTCGAAGGATACTACCAAGACAGTGATAAACAACCTACTTAGAATGGGAGAAAATATTTACAAATCAGATGTTTGATAAAGGACTTGTATTCAGCATATTTTAAAAACTGTTAACTCAATAATATAAAAGTAAATAACCCCATTTAAAAATGAACAAAGACTTTGAAAAGACCTATCTCCAAAGAAACATACAAATAACCAATAAAGCATATGAAACAATGTCCATTAGTCATTAGGGATGAAAATACAAAATTAGCAAACTGACTCAAGAAGCAGGAAACTTGAAGATAGGAATAATGATGGAAGAAACTAGAAAGGGTTCACATGGAAGTGTCAGGTCCAATAATTTCATAAACAAAATATCTTAAAATCTCAAGAAAGTGGTAACTCCTATACCAGTTAAACATTTCCAACTTTATAGAAAAGTAGTTATCTTCTCAAATAATTTTATAAAATTATTATAATTTTAATGACAAAATCAAAAAATGACACAGAGCAATCAGCTTACCAATATAAATACAAACATCCTAAATAAAATGCAAATACATTGACTCTAAAATATATTAAAGAAATAACAGGATGTAATCATATTGTCTTTTTCCAAGAAATGCAAGGATAATTTAAAAAGCATATGGCTATAATTTAGTATATCCATAAATCAAGTGAGAAAAAATATGATCACAGTGTTCAGTCACCAAAAAGATATTTGAACATTTTTTAACCTTCATTACTGATTTCATAAAAAACTCAATAAACTATGAACATTCTTTTTAGCATCATTTAAAAAATATTAATTTTAGTCAATATTCAAAAATGTTACTAATAGAAATAGTATGAAATAGTACTTAGTGCTAATAAAATTATCAATAAAATCCAGAAAAAGACATATTGCCTCCATTCCATCTTATTCTGGAAGTTCTAGCCAATTTAGCAAATACAGGAGAAGAAATTCTGGAGTCCAAATTTCAAACACATTTTACTGTGACACAGAATTTCTGCTATTTCCCCCTACAGAAGATATAAAAGAAGATTCAAAGTTTCTATTTGGAAATCTGGACCTCAAGCTCAAAAGCGAGGGTAAGACAGGCTAGAGATACGATCTGGGTATACATCAATGGGATGTTTAAAGCTGAGTGAGTACACACGCCCTGTGGGAGTGGATATTATAAAACTATGATGTCATAGACTTTATCCTAAAATAATGAAGCTTTGCCTAAACTGAATTAACATTTTGTTTTTATTTTGTACTGGAAATGGTTAACATTAAGGTCTAAAATCATTAGTTGTGCGGTATCTGTGATGATAAAACTTTTTTTTAATTCCACTTGTTCTGTGCCAGGAGACCCTGGGAAATACTTCTGTATATACAGGTTGAGAATCTTAGCCATGTGCAAAGACAAATGTTCCTTCATGTGGGAAGGGATACCTTATAGGGTAACCATGTCTCTAAGCCTATGTGCCAGTTATTTAGTCCAAAAGCTCATTTACATGCACATAGTAATAGGTGCTCAGTGTAACTGATGAATCACTGAATGAATGGATCAATTAGTCAAAGAGATAGGATGGCACTTGTCCCCTCTACTTGTCTACACTTTTTCATTTGTTCAACCAAAGTGAGGGGGAAAAAAACTGTAGCAAATGGATAGAAAAAAGGATCAGGCCAGATTTTAAGGAAGCTGTGTCATGAAAGACACTGAGTGAGCCAAGACATAAGCAGTGCCAGGTGGGCGCACAGGATACAACCAGCCCAGGGCTATGCACAGGCTCATGCACCCCTCCACCCGCTTCCAGACAACAGAGCAGCCCCAGTTCCCTGAGAGGACAAATGTGCCCAGAAAAGAACTTCCTAGAAGGCAGCAACACATGAGAGCCTTGATGGAGAAAATGACGGAACCAGAAAAGGTAGGTGGATTCCCCAGATAACTGTGAAAATACTTGGAGGGAAGAGATTCCTAATTGAGCAGAAGAGAAATAAAAGATATTTATATTTTGAACATTAAATGGTAATGTGGTTATGGCAGGCACCTGTAGTCCCAGCTACTTGGGAAGCTGAGGCAAGAAAATCACTTAAGCCCAAGAGTTTGAGTTTGCTTTGAGCAGTAATGTCACAGCACTTCACTGAGAGCAACATAGTGAGACTCTGTCTCAAAAAATAATAAAAATAAATGGTAATGTGCCTACAATTGCATTACAGGCTACATTTCAGGTTACATTAAAAAAAAATAGGTAAAATCACCCAAGTAAAAATTATTGAACACAAAAAAGGGGACCAATGGCCTGAAACATAGTCCAGAGGAGTCACTTTTTCCTCTGGACTATGTTCAAATCCTGTAAAATACACTAGCAGAGCAGGCCCGCTGGCCCGGATACTAGTGCAGACTGCCTTAGAACCCATCCAAATTGACTAGCCAACCATCTTGGGCTCCGCACATTAAATTCCAAAATTTGCCTTGGTAGTTCCTGCTCTAGGGAACCTGCTGGATATTAGCATCTCCTGACTTGACTCTTGCATCTTCTCTCTGCACACCAATGAAGGTGGGGCTTGAATATCTGTACTCTCCAGAACTGCCAGGGAAAATTCTGAAGGATGGCAAGGCCTGGGAGCCAGTGATTCAGATGAGCAAATCTCCCTTCATTCCTGCCTTTCTCTTAGCTTCCCTCTAGTCTCTTCAACGTCCAATTCTTCTCGCCTTTTGGTGGCTCCTCCAATACTTGCTCTGTAGTCCTTTTCATTCTGATCACAACCATATTTTCTAGACTTTCCTCCCTTTTTACTCTTCATCTAGCCCTAAACTCTGAAACTACAAAAGAGAAACTTACACCCACTCCCTAATAGTGCTCTACTTTTTCATTCCTCTGAGTCTTTATCCATGCAGTTCCCTCCTCCTAGAGGATCTTATGTCCTTTTCTCTGCTTCATGATCCTTTCAAACATCATCTCCACTGCATCTTCTGAAATAGTCCCATGTTTAAATGCTCCATTCTCCTCATTTCATAATGTCTTTATTTTAGCAAGTATTATGTGACATATTACATATGTACATGAGTGTTCACATCTTCTAAACAATGAGTGTCTTGGTGGCAAGGACAGTGCTTTATTTATCTCTTCAGGTGAAATCAGTGTGTTCGGAATGAAAGACATGAAATTATGACAGAGGAGGGTGGTCTTTACCATAAAGCATTTTAAGATAGCATATTTAAAATGTTAAATGTTCTGATGTTGTCTTCATCAATTTTAACTGTAGAACCCTAATTCAGATCCCATGACCCAATTTAAAATAGGCTGACATAGTTTTAAGTGAAAAGTAACAAAAGAAAAGTCTATTACAAAGTCCTTGATTTAGATAAATTCTATAACAGAACTCAAGGAAAATCTCAATGCTAATCAGAATCCTAACTTAGTGAGCCAATTCATTGAGCTGCTAAGAAGATTCCATTTTTGAGAAAGTGACCAGGGATTTTTAAGGAGGGTTCCTCAACTAGAAAAGAGAAGGAAAGGAAGCCCCCCAAAAAATCAGGAAGGAAAAATTATCATGGAAACAACTTAACAAAATTGTGAAAAAGTGTTATCAACATGAACTTGAATGTTACCTG